GTAGGCATATTTCAAGCGTGTCTAGAGTTAATAAAACACTTTTAATTTTTTTAGAGAAAATTACCGGATGTCTACTGGTTTAATGATCAATTTGGATTAAAGGTATATCGTCCAGATAATTTTAATGCTGTTATGTTATATTCAGGGCCGACTAGAGGGGGGTGGGCAGCCGGGACTAATTTTCGGGGCCCGGGCTCAAATGGGAGCCCGGCAGCGGTGGTGCTTGTTACTTTCAGGAGTTCGAAATTTTTACTTGAAGATCTTTTTTTAGAGAAATTCAAATAGGGGAGAAATTTTTGCTTGAAGAACTTTTGTTATTTAATTTTTTATAAAATTGTCGCGGGGCTCGATCTGGAGAATTGTCCTGGGGCCCGGTCTGGCTCTCGGCGGCCCTGGTTATATTAGCTAACATTTCAAATTAATATTAAACCAAGCAATAGAAATATTTATCTGGCTCTAATATTGTCCAGCTTTCATATTTCATACTAAGCAAAAAAGAGATGGTAAAAAATGCACTACGTTTTAATTTTACAACAATGAGCCAAAATTACAATCATACGAAAACAATGATCGAGTAGGTATAACTTTTTTTATTTACACAATATGAAATAACAGTAAAAAACAAATAACAAAGAGGGCAGAGTACATCTTAAAGACGTCCAATTCATGTCTTTCTTTCGTCCAAACGTCCTGGTACGTCCTAGTTTTAAGACGCCCTGCTCAGGACCAGGGACCCGGACCGAACCGTTATTAACCGAAAACCGGACCGGAACCGAAATGTTTTAGATGGACCGGAACCGAACCGAACCGAAAATATATTAAAAATATTTTTTCTACACCCGTATAATAATAATGCACTTATATGCCCATAATCCGTTTTATAATGATACCCATTATGATACAGATTTTTCATTATGATACAGATTTTTAATCAATAGAAACCTACAATTTTTCAATCAAGCATGATGTTTGACGTTTGTCCTAAATTCCTATGTAATTGTTTTAGTTGTCAAAACGTATTAAATTTTCGTAGATAGCTAAACTTCGATAATTATAATATTAAAATGTCTGATATCAGCGATATAGAACACTCCTCCACACATATAGGAGAAAGGAGAAAATGCAGTACAAAATATTTTGCCCCAAAAATCTGTGGTAATACCAGTACCCAAGGTAATACCATTAATTACAATTTTGTAGAATTTTTTATAGAAATACGAGTAATTACTGTTATTGTGTTCAATACCAATATAAATAGAATATTTATAGGTCTTGATTATTTATCGGGTGTAGAAAAAATAGCGTATGCAACTCTCATGTAATGGTTATTACATGATCGTTGCATAATATACTAATTTATGGACCGGACCGTACCGAACCGAAATAAAAATGAATTTTTTCGGTTTTTTTTTCGGTTCTTGTGTCTTTTTCATATGCTTTTTTGTTGGCTTGAATATCTGATTCACGTGACCAGTAAGACTCACTGAATCACTGAACACTGAACCCCATAGTTTTTATGACTGAAAGTAGCTGAATAATAAAACCACACACCACACATCGGAAAAAAAGACAAATAAAGTGAAAGTAGGTAACGTCAATATTAATTCAGCTACTACAAATTACAATTAATAGACTTAGGCTAGTAGGACATTGTACCACCCCGGAACACCTTCACCGGATAGGAGTGTATAACTCCCCTAATTGTGAGTGCGGACAAGTAGAGAGGCAGACGCGTGAAAACGCAACTTGTTCCAAAAAAAAATTTTAAATGGGATACTCTGTATATTTTTACATTTTTATAATCCTCTCGATGAGTTGATTTCAACGATGTATCATACTTGATGTCTAATCTGGATAATAAAGGATCTACAGCCACATGAAAAATCACATTTTTGGAAATTGGAAATCTCATCTGACTTTTGAGTAAAAAAAAATGTGATTTTTCAGGTGGCTGTAGATGTTTATTATCCAGATTAGACATCAAGTGTGATCCATCGTTGAAATCAGCTCGTTGAGAGGATTATAAAAATGTAAAAATATACAAGGTATCCCCGAAAATCTGCACGCTACTGTACATTTGATAGAATTTTAACAAAAAACAGTTATAACCACACAACTTTTATTTGAAACTTTTTTTTTCAATATGCAATAACGATAATAAGGGGTGGGTAATTTATAATGAATAACCCTGTACATACCTACTATAAAAAAATCAATCGAACCGAAATTACTGAACCAAACCGAAAAAAATTTGGTAGAACCGGACCGAACCGAACCGAAATTTTTTTTTGAGAACCGGAACCGTACCGGACCGGATTTTTTTAAATGTGATAAGAACCGGAACCGAACCGAACCGTTAATTTCATTTCGGTCCGGGTCCCTGCTCAGGACATGTTTAAAACGTCTTTGTTAGGATGTTTTTAGGACGTTTTAAATATGTTGGTAGTGTGGATGTTCAACTCTTTTCGCTATATTTGAATATGGCACCACTACAGCGTTCTTGGCGCTGCCTGCAGCGCATGTAGATCGTCATTCGTTATTGTCATTGGCTGATTGGAGTCTCAAAACGTACAAAACTGGATGTCTTAAAGACGTACAAAATTAGATGTCCTAAAGACGCCTTGTTTTGTAACAAAGTACGTCCTATAGACGTCTTTAAAACATCTTTTGGAAATTGGCGTAGATATTCAAAACGTCACGAACGTCGGGAACAAACGTATTTAAGATGTCTTTAGAACGTGTCTGTGCTATAGGGACCGTGCATGAAATATAGAGGCAGCACTACTGCCGAACTTAGCCCTCTCTAGTGTTTAATTTTAGAATTAAATGGGGTAAACATTGCAAGTAAATAATAAAGGGTATTTTTTTAAATATTAAATATTGTTAAAAATAGATAGCGGCCCGTACCAAACAATCGTGTACATGGTCAAAATGACGTAAAATGTGAAACATTATTAAAATCTGGACATGCATATACATTTTAAGCAAAAAGATTTAAATGGCTAAGTGACAATAAATTGTAAAGTTGTACCTTAAACAAGTGTATCCAATGTTAAAATATCGGTATTTAGTAACACTGAATTTAAAAGTATTACAATAACATTTAAAAAATGTAAATTAATAAAAAAGATTGATAATAATAATTATAAATCTTTTTAGCTTTATGTTAATCGAAATGTCATTCATCCACTGACGTTTATGAGATGTTCAACGATACATATTATAGATTGCTCACCCATCTATAAAAAAATTATGAAAAGCGGGTTGCAATGTGCCTTTCCTAGTGCTCACTAAATAGAGCCGTTCTAGCCCAAATGTGTTTTAAAATAAAATTTCAGCATTTTAATCTTTAGAAAAAGAAAATAATTAAAGTTTTACTTCAAGACATGTCATTATGTATTTGGAAAGTTGAGTTTTCATGTAGTTAAATAATATTAAGAGATCTAAACAATTTTTATAACAGATTGATATAAATAATTTTAGACTACTATTTCAGAAACAATTTTACATAAAATACATAATTGCAATATGTAATACAATTTTGAAAAGGTAATGTAAACAATTTTGATATGAGATATAAACAACTTTGGTAAGAGTTGTAATTGGACACTTTTCTATTATTCTGAATAATGTTTAATGGTAATGTCACTAAAAAAATTTACAAAAATCAATGGATTTTTAATATTTTAAAGTTTGTTACAATCTCTTTTGACAGTAATTGCAATGTATTATTTATGATTTGTTTATTTTAATAATAAATGAGAAATAGTTAATAAATTGTAAAGAGGTACGTGATATTTTTGTCAAATTGGACATTCTTATTTCATATTCTACATTAGTTTTAATCAACAGAATAAACCATTATCTGTAAAATTATATTTATATAAAATGTTCATTTAAATATGTAACAATCTTAATGACAAGAAAACACTAAAGATTCTAATATCTAAACCGGTTCTGTAAATGATTTCTTTACAACTAAGTGCTCAAAATTGATAAAAAGAAAACTTTGCCCAGTGAAATACGCTTTTCGTCGTCTGATTTACATATGGATAAGCAATCTTTGTAATTATGTATATCATTGGGTGTGAGGCATAATTGTGCTCTGTGGAAATTTATAAAATTTCTTTACTATCGAATGAAATCCAGGTTTCCAAAGTGATGTGTTTGTACATCCACGGATGCAACAAGTTTTTTCGATATTGATATTACGAAAATAATTCGACTTCATTTTATTAATAATTATTAAACAATAAATGCCGTATAAAACATTAATAAATACCCCCATAAAGTTCACATTTTTGTCACCAGTTAGCGTTAAAGTCATGACGCACGGTCCCTATCTGGGTAGTGTCATTCTTTATTAAGTAAAAATAAATCTTTTTGTAATACATGTAGATCATTATGTTTTATTTTGCGGAATTTAAAAAAAAAACACTCATTTTATTATGTAAACGATTTCATTTAGTTTATTTCAATATATTTTTTTTGTTGTGTTTTATTTATTTTAAATTTTACGCTTTGAACTTGCTTTATACCTAAAAAGATCAATAAAGTACTAATAACATAAATACAAATTTTTTATTTTCAATTTGTTACGCCTTCGGTCAAATACCGTTGGTGTCAAAATGGCACAAGATTTCAGAGACATTATGAGTCCCCTCTTTATTACCTAGTCTAAGCTTTTAATAAATAGAAATAAAAACTGAAAATTTGTCGTAAGTAGTGTATAAAGTGTTGCCTATACCTACCTTAATCGTGAAAAAAGCAGTTGATATTCAAAGTTCATGTTAACAATTTAACAAAAAATCATGTACTACGTACAAATAACCTGAAAATCATTTATTGTAACTCGAATCAAACTCAGTAGAAAAAGTATTTTTTTTTTTCTTTAGTGAACGCAGCCAAATCTATTAATGTCTGCTGTCATTCTTTGACAATTGACATGGAATGGATAATTTTGTATCAAATTTCCTGTTCTGTGTTGTTTCCTTCCTTTGATTAGTTTGATTTGGGAAAAAGTGGGGATAAAAGAATACAAAATGGTGGTCTTCATAGGTGCCGCAAATATTTAATTTAAAAAAAAATTGATTATTCAGGAAAATTTCATTTTTGTACTATTCTACTATTTTTACGACCTAATTGAAATTCTATTGAAGTTCTGTAATTTAAGACTTTGTGAAGTAATAATTGCCCAAGGACACACCTAAATTTGCTCTCATACAAAAATGCGAGGAAGGCCTAGAAGGTAAATATAGATAGAATATTATGTTTTTTATTTGCTTTAGTTTGTATACCAGAGATATATGATCTTTATAAATTTTCATTCAACACTTTTTTGAAGGTAAAAAGAAGCAATCTCTTAATATATGAAACTTCTTTTACTTACCATAATTACCCCAAATATGAATGAAAAGAATTAGAATTCTACTACAATAACAAATATAATAAAATCACTAAATACGTAAATTTTATATAAATTAAAGTTCTTTAGTTTTATAATTAAGTACAAGTTTTTTTGTTTTTATAATTAAGTACAAGTTTAGGTACAATCCTCTAATCAAAAAAATCAAATTTTCTTACAAAAATAATAGGTAATAATAATAGTACCTAATAACAATAACACTAATAATAATTATTATATTTCACTGCCATATATAAAAAGATTTTCAGAATGTCTAAAATGTTTTCTAACCAAATAGCTATTCTCAAATTTTAAGCCCAAAATTAATAAAACAAATCGACCAAATGTTTATAAAATTGAGTGCAGAGATTGTAATTTCACTTACATTGAACAATAAAATAGAAAACCATATCTATTAATAATGAAAATTTTACTGCTCTTTCATTTTATAAAATGTAGGAATTCTCAAAAATGAACCTAATTATAATTAAAAAACAATCCTTGATATTGTTCATATTAAAAAAAAATCTTGTATCGAATCAACTAATTGTAAGCTTTTTAATTTTTACTGTAGCCTCACTGTTAATTTTTAACTTTTCAAAAACTCTTCTTTTTTAATTGATAATGATTATTGTAATTCCAAATTATGGATTTATTTTGAGGAACAATTATAATACATATTACTTAGTAAGACAATTCCTAAACAAAAAGTGTCAAGGAAAATATATTAATGATCACATAGAGTAATATTCATTAATTGTATATGGTTCTAAATTAATTAACAATTCATGTACTTCCCTTTTAAATACTTTAACATTTGCTAATCTTTGTATGTACCCTGCTCCATGTTCTGTAGCTGTCAGCCTATATATTGGATATACTAGGTTTATATTTATATATAAGCATTTTGTTGGTTCAAAATTTGAAAATAAACCTCTATTTTTGAATAAAAAAATTAAGCATTCCTGGATGTATATGCCTATCACAGTTAAGATTTTATTTTCTCTAAATTTACCTTTACACGACTCTCTCATATTCAAACTGAGCATAATCCACATTATTCTTTTTTGCACTAAAAAAACCCTTTCAATTGAATTGCTCCCACCATAGAATATTATCCCATATCTAATTCTGGATTCAAAATTTGCAAAGTATACCATTTTTAAACTATCCCATTCCAAATATTTCTTCACAACTCTGATGCTGTAATAGATCTGGCTTAGTTTTGTAGAAACTTGGTACTAGTTGAGACCTTAAATATACAGTTGTTTAATTGAATATTTATTGGCATTTCATCTCTGTTGTAATTGGTTTTAAAAAGTACCACATTTGTTTTGCCCTCATTGAGTATTAATTTATTTCAAACCATTTTTTAGCTTTCGTTATCTCTCTCTCTGCATTTAGGGTTAATTCCATCATATTAGATGCATTTATTAAGATATTTGTGTCATCTGCATATTTGGTTAGCACACAGTTCTCATTAGCAATCATAATGCTGTTTAGTTCATTCACATAAATAATAAAAATCAATGGACCTACTATACTTCCCTGAGGTATTCCTATATTACATGTTATTTCTATAGATCTTCCTTCCTTATTATTTTAATATATTTTGACAACCTGTTTCCTATCCTTAAGATATGATTTGAACCACCCTAATACAGGTCTCCTAATTCAGCTTGTCCAGCACTATCCCATGGTTTAGACAATCGTAGGCTTTGGACAAGTCCAAAAATAGGCCCATAGCCAGCCTACCATTCTCCAGATCACCTAGAACATGCTGAACAAACTGAATTGAATAGATTTCCCATGCTGGTAATCGTGTTGATTTTTTTACTTAATAAGTTACAGGTCATAACAAATTCTGATACCCTTTTACACATTGCTGCATCAAAAATGTTTGAGAAAGAATTTAAAAGACTAATTGGTCTGTAGTTCTCCACCTTTTTTACATCACCTTTTTTGAAAACAGGTACTATTCAGGCTATTTTTAATTGATCAGGAAACATCCCAAATCGAAAAGACTTATTTATTATATATACTAGTGGATTCACAATTTGCTGATGCCTTCCCCTGTATCTCAGTAAATAAATATCAATATCACCCTGGATAAATTGCCAGACACTGTTGAACCTTTTTTTTTTTTGGCAAAAAGTGGTATTTGACTGTGGTCGTATTAAAAACATTTTAAAAAATGTATTAAAACATTATTTCTTGGAAAACTTTGTGCAAAATTTGATTTAAGTTACAGTGTGGTTAACATTCTTCAGGCATCTGCAGGTCCATGACAGTACTTTTTCATTTCAGGTGTACCACAAGACTTGCATTTACTTACTTTGTTTATCTTCTTTATTAATAATTCACCTTAAAAATTCTATATATTATTAGCTTTGTACGGTCAAAACTTGAATACTGTTATGTTGTTTGAATCCCATGCATAACATTTACACTGACTTACTTGAAAAAGTTCAAAGAAAATTGAAGAAATTGGCTTCCTACATTTTAGATGATATATACCCTAAAAGGGGATATCCCATGATTTACTAGATTCAATATTTCTGAGCTCATGGTATGCAGAAATTTCCAACAGGTACTCCTGCTCTATAATCTTTTAAATGGTTCAGTCAACAGTATTGATTTGTTAAATTATGTTAATCTAAAAATCCCCTATGCTGGTTTAAGAGTTTACTTGAGTTTCTACATGCCATCTTCTAGAACTAATGTTTTGAACTCATCTCCAATGTACCAAACTATTCAGAAATATCATGATATTCAAAACAGCTTGGATATTTTTGCAAGTAACAAATATATGATTAAATTTTTTTTTCTTTAAAAATGTAAAAAAAATTATGTAAAGCATGTAATGCAATGTAGACAACCATTTTTTATGCTACAATCTGCATTAAGCAGTTCACCAAAATACTAGATACAATAAATGTTTAAGATAATTTTTTTATAAATTTTGACATAACTGTGTCTGTAATTGAAATGGGTGTCTTGGATCATAGGGGACAGTTAGTAGAAACTCAAGAAACCTCTGAAATAAAAAACAACTTGTATTAGAAATTATTATTCACACAACAATATTGAACTATTTAAATTCTGAAAAATGGCTAGAAGTTTATGATGCATATTTGGTGAAAGATAAATGTAATGCTTTTATTACAATCTTCGGTTCATATTACAACATATGTTTTAAATCCAAACCTCAAATGCAGAATAAAAGGCAGGGCTCTTATTGGGTTTCTCCCACAATTACTGAGGCAAAAATAGACTGCTGTTTTTGCATGAATGGCAAAAACAGCATCCTAGTACTCAAAATATTCAATTATATAATAAAGATTATAAATTAACATATTTAAAAAGTTTGGTAGCAGTGAAACATGATTTTTGTAATAATTATATATTAAATTCTGATAATAAGGCAAAGACTTTGTGGAATATTATTAACAAAGAAATTGGTCGAAATATAACAAAAACAAAGCCAGAAAATTTAATTCCTGAAGATCTTAATAATTTTTTTATTAATAATGCGGAAAACAATTCAGAATCTAAAGAAACCGGATATACCTGCTACTTCCTTCATAAATATACCACAATTAAAAAATTCAATGTTTTTCAGCCAGTTACTCAAACCGATATAGTGTAAAAGATTTAAAAAATAAAAGAACAGAGGATATTGATGGATTTAATGTATTTATAATGAAAAAATGTATTTATTTTTTGTCTAAACCTTTAACTATAATTATAAATGCTTGTCTAACTGAAGGAATATTTCCTGATAGCATGAAAATTGCTAAGGTCTGTCCTCTATTTAAAAAAGGGGACCCTTTTCAGCCTTGCAACTTCAGACTAATTGCAATACTTCCCATATTCTCCAAAATCTTGGAAAAAATTATGTATAATAATCTAATATCATATTTAAATTTTTCCAACATACTCATGCCATTCCAGTATGGTTTTAGAAGGGAGTGATCTACAATAGATGCAGTATTATCTCTAGGACAATATATAGAAAATTGTTTTGAAAAAGCTGTTTGGGTGAATTTTCAGATCTAAGCTTTGCTTTTGAGTGTGTGGATCATTCAATTCTATTATCAAAACTGGAGAGGTATGGAGTACGAGGGATTTATTTACAGCTTTTTGAATCTTATTTAACTGACAGATGTCAAACAGTCATCATCGAAAATTGCAAAAGTTCATTGGTCCATATCAGGAGAGGTATCCCTCAGGGCTCAATTTTAAGTCCATTACTCTTTTTGATATACATTAATGATCTTCCTGGCCATATGCATTTTGAAAACCTTATCACATGTATATTTGCTGATGATACTTCTTTTTGTATTAATACTAAAAGAGGAACAGATCATGATCAAGTTTACTCTGATGTCATGATTCAGGCAAAGAGGTGGTTTTCTGTAAATTACCTGTTTTTAAATGACACAAAAATTATCTCCCAATTATTTACAGTAAATAGTGAACAAGTTAATAACAATTCTGTTAAAACACTTGACATTCAAATTGATCCACATCTCATATGGACAGATCATATTGAAGCACTTTGTTCCAAATTATCATGAGCAGTTTTTGCTATCAGGAAAATATGCCAAATATGTGGTCAAGATGCAGCAATTACTGCTTACTATGCTCTATTTCATAGTCATTTGACATACGGGACAATATGTTGGGGCAATGCTGCTGACACACATATATCAAGAGTCTTTATTTTGCAAAAATAAGCCATAAGAGCCATAACACGTGCTTCTTGGCAAGCCAGTTGTAGACCAGTATTCCCAGAACTTAAAATTATGACACTCTATGCAGTAATAATCTATCAAAACCTATTTGTAAGAAATAATATTAATTAAGTATAAGGGGTTAAGAAAAGGTCCTTTATTTCTCACACGTCAATTTTAATTGGCGACCAGTTTCGAAGCTATTGCTTCATCATCAGGCACACCTAAATGGAATGTCAAGGAGTCAGTAGTAATAAAACAATTATAAAAGTATGAACGGACATTAACATATACAAAGTAACAGAAAAAAAAAATTAAACAATGACCTTGACTCACCTTGACTATTTCCATAAAGGAAATGCTGTATAAAGTTTAACAAAACGAGTTAAAAAAAGTCAGAAAAGTCATGTAATACCTACAATAGTATTTTTTTAAATATATTTATGGGTTAGCTTTATACTTAATCCCTACTACTCACATATGGCTACCCTCACTCAAAAAAAAAATAATAATAATAATAATACATTTTTTTCCCCACTCAGATATCCATAACTATAATACAAGGCACAAAGATAACTTAGTCCCTATACAATATACTACCACTTAATTTTAGAAATCAGCCTATAGATAAATTTAAACATGTATTAAAACAAATGTTATCCAATAATTGCCTATATAGCTTAGAGGAATTTAAATCAATACAGATGGAGGCTGTCACTGTGGCCTCTGAGTGATTCAGTGAACTATGTTGTAAATGTTTGTAAATTTCAATTTTATATTATTATATTTAGGTAAATTTTATTATATATATTTAGTTTTAATTGTAATTTGACGAGCCATAAAATGTAATATTTTCTCAGGTAAATAAAGATATTGTATTGTATCCTGTGTTCCGTCAGTTTTTTTCCTGGATGTTTACATTGTATTCTTTTTAACTATTTTGTATTTGTGTTTTTATTCTAATGTTTTGTATTTCCCACCTAGTAAATGGTGATTACTGTTGGGTGGTGTAACAAATAAATAAAAACTTGTTTTAATAGTTCTAGATGTTTTTATTAAGTTATTGTAATATTTATAAAATATTTTAAATACAAATTGAATTTCAGATCAAGAAGTAGAGAACGTCGACGATCTCGTAGCCGCGATCGTGGATATGGATATGGAGGTGGTGGCGGCGACGGCCGTGGTGGTGGCGGAGGAGGCGGAGGAAGACGCAATGCAGCTGGTTCAAATCTTCGCAAACCAAGATGGGATTTAAGCCGCTTGGAACCATTCAAAAAAGATTTTTATGTACCATTGGCATCTGTGCAGGATCGGACTTCTCAGGAAATAGAAGACTGGAGAAGAAAATGGGAAATATCTCTGAAAGGAAAGACTATTCCTAATCCTGTGATGAATTTTGAGGAAGCTGGATTTCCTGATTATGTGATGGACGAATTGAAAAAGATGAATTTTAAGAATCCAACTGCTATTCAGGTAGATAGCATTAAATGAATAATTGTATTTGATTTAAGTCCTTAATACCAATTCTATTTTAATTGTAGGCACAGGGGTGGCCTATTGCTTTGTCTGGCAGAGATATGGTTGGTATTGCATCAACTGGATCAGGAAAGACTTTAAGTTACATTCTACCAGCGATAGTTCATATAAATCACCAATCTAGACTGATGAGAGGAGATGGGCCTATAGCTTTAATATTGGCTCCTACTAGAGAGCTAGCACAACAGATTCAACAGGTATTGATAAGTATTTTCTAATAATTTGTTATGTATTTATTTCATATTCCTTCATTGCATAATACAAATAATATTCACTAGGTGGCTACTGATTTTGGACAAAGTTCAAGAATCAGAAATACCTGCGTTTTTGGGGGAGCTCCAAAAGGACCTCAGGTAAACGATCTAAAGGATGGAGTTGAAATAATTATAGCTACTCCAGGGCGACTTATAGATTTCCTAGAAAGCAGCAGGACTAATCTCAAAAGATGCACTTATCTGGTTCTGGGTAATATTTTATAAATGTTTAAAAAACCTTAAGTTTTATTTTGTTAACATTTTAGATGAGGCAGATAGAATGTTAGATATGGGATTTGAACCGCAGATCAGGAAAGTCATTGAACAAATTCGTCCAGATAGACAAACTTTGATGTGGTCCGCCACTTGGCCAAAGGAAGTGCAAAATCTGGCGCAGGAATTTTTAAAGGATTATATTCAGATCAACGTAGGATCATTGCAGTTATCTGCAAATCATAATATTCTTCAGATTATCGACGTTTGTCAAGAGCATGAGAAGGAGAGCAAATTGAGTACATTGCTTAAAGAAATTATGGCTGAAAAGGAAAATAAGACTATTATATTCATAGAAACTAAGAAGAAAGTGGACGATATTACAAGAAAGATGAAGAGAGATGGGTAAATATATAATTTTTTAATTTCTACTTGTTTTTGTTGTATTATTGATTTCTAAAACATCAGTATGCTTTTAATTATTTTAGATGGCCAGCTGTATGTATCCATGGAGATAAGTCTCAACAAGAGAGAGATTGGGTACTACAAGGTAACTACATAATTACTCATTTTAACATTGTTTCAAATGATTGACCGACTTCAAAAAAAGGAGGAGGTTCTCAATTCGTCCTAATATTTTTTTCTTATGTATGTTCAGCAATAATAATAATAATAAATCTTTATAGGTTCTTTTTGATCACTATACAAAGATGTAGGATATGTTAAGATGCATGTAGTGAACAAAACACAATTTAAAATCTACATTAAATATACATACAGTATGGTTCAAATGAAAGGAATAAATTCATTATAATGGAAGTAGCTGGTTTTTCGAAAAAATGCTCGGACAGGTCAATTTTGTTTACTCAAAGCGCAATTTTTTAAATAGAATTCAATTTTCCCCCACTTCCCATTTTTGGGCAGTGACGTCATTGACAATTTTTTTAAATATTAACCTCAATTTTTTTTCTTGATTTTGATAGATCTTGCAATTTCCTACTCGGAAACATAATATTTGAAATATCTTACGTAACAATTTTTTTTGAATAGAAGACATTTAAAGATCAGACACATAAATTTTATTTTGAGAACACAATAAATGAATAAAAGATAATTATTTGTAATTAAATGCTTAATCTAACAAAATAATAATAAAAATAATAATAATAATAAAAAGAATTTGTAAAATTGTCATTAAATTCTTTTTATTATTATTTTTTTTTTAGATTAAGCACTTAATTACAAATAATTATCTTTTATTGATTTATTGTGTTTCAAAATAAAATAAAATTTATGTATTTGATCTTTAAATTACTTTTTTTCAAAAAAAATTGTTATGTCAGATATTTCAAATATTATGTTTCCGAGTAGGAAATTGCAAGATCTATCAAAATCAAGAAAAAAAATTGGAGTTGCTATTTAAAAAAATTGTCAATGACGTCACTGCCCAAAAATGGGAAGTGGGGGAAAATTGAATTTTATTTAAAAAACTGCGCTTTAAATAAACAAAATTGACCTGTCCGAGCATTTTTTCGAAAAACCAACTACTTCCATTATAATGAATTTATTCCTTTCATTTGAACCATACTGTATATACATACACACATACATATATATTACGTTACCTAGTAATAATCCTTAATATTAACTATTAACCTTTTTACAGATCTAATTAATATTTGAGTCCCAGTTCATATCACTATCTAGCAGTACCCTCAGAAATTTTGTTTTCTGCGACAAGTAGACATCATTGTAATTTACCTTTACATATATATTATCATAAATTTTATTCCTTGAAAAAACTGAAGAGCAACTATTTTATCAGAATTTAAGATTAAGGTATTTTTATTGCACAAAGTTGAAAAATCTGAAACTACTAAGTGAAGCTTCTGCTGCAGTTCATCTGGAGAAGTTGCATGAGATGCTAAAGTTGTATCGTCGGCATAGAGTATGGTATAATCTGCAGACACATGTTGAGGAAGATCATTTACCACAACCCGTTCATAAATATTGTTTGTTTACACGCCAACATTAAACGTCAGATAAGGTTGAAAATGGCGTCGTTGTTTACATTACTGATATTATTGCCATGGGCGTATAATTAACAGGAAAATGGTACAGAAATAAAAGAATTCAATTAAAATTTTTATTTATAAAATATTTATTTACACAATGATGTATTATTCAAAAGCTAAGAATAACGATGTTTAAATAATTTATAAATAGTATGATAAACAATGTAACATTTTAAAAATAATTTTGTACCTTAAGAAAATTAATAATATAGCAAGAAAACGTTACAGAAATGTTATATTTTCAATTAATTTACATATTAATTTTACCAAAAAATTAATAAACAACATGATAATTATATATGAAAAATATAATATTGCAAATACACTATTAGTCCAGGATCCGTAAGTAGGGTCGACCTTCACCCATCTGTTTAATGGATAAAACTTATTTTTTATTAAATAGCGTTATAGTAAGCTCATAGTGATCACCTAAATAAAAGTCTTGTACTATTTCTTTGTAATCGTAACTACAATTTGTTGGAAAATAATCTATTTTTGATTTATAAATTTTCCTATTTTTGTCAAGTGACACTCTGGTCGGTTCTATATTTTGACATTGTAAATCATCCGTAGACAAGAACTTTGACACTTTTGAATACGGCGCTGTTACGGTTTTACCGCAACAATATTTTCAAATCAGAAAGTCTAATTAAAATAAATAAGTAACTTACTTAAATTAAAAAGCAAACCATATTTACAAACTTTATTTACAACTTCAGTCATCCCATACTCTCAGTTCCTGATATAAATAAGTAGATAATTGATTTGTTTACAAAAATTGTTTGTACATTGTTATATAGGTTAGGTAGTTCCAATCTGCTATGTCAACCTAAGTACTTCTTCTTTTATTTTAGTCCTTGGGTATCTTAAGTAATTTCACTTATTGGAAGGTGACTAATTGTCTTAAATGGTATAAGCTTTTGGTCTGGGAGAGGAACTTCTAGAAGCTTGATTTTTTTCCTCTATTTTTTTGTGGAAATTGTTTTTTTTTGGGTATATCTTGTGCTGGTTGCAGTTATCGTTTTACGGATTTTATACTCTGAAACAAAAATAAACTGGTTAAATTTGAATTACTAGTTTTCTGTTGAAAATTTGCACTATAAGTGGATTTCCCGTAATTCAATTTAAACCTTTGAATTTCCCAAGGCCGATCCCCAACTTCGGTAAGTACCACGTGAAATGTACAATACCCTATACCTATTTTACATTCTGTTTCTTTATTTTTAGGCCTTTTTCTTTTTCTCCTACTCTTATTCTACGCTTTTACTCTTCGTTCTATTTTCTTAGACGTACTTATATTGGAAAAAACTACTTAACTGATTATAAGTAACACTCAAGGTGACGTTGCTGGCACATCACATAGAATTCAAGATCTTAATGCATGCTGCTTGTTGCTTGCCGCAGCCCTCCAGCGCTGTTGATGCTATTTCCTGCATGTTGCTTATTTGCTATTCGTCCTATTTTACCAGCTCTGTTTCGTTCGCTATAGCCTGCCTGCTGTTTAGTGCCTGCATCTTGAGCCTGGAAATTGATTGCAAGTAAGAATTTTCCAGTTTTATTGTATCTTTGTTACTGGTGGTTGAGCTGAAACGAAAATAATTCATAATTAAACTGTTTGTGTGATAATAATTGTACCTAAAATTTATGTAGTGTAAATATATTAACTTACGGTTCTGTGTGAACCAATTGGTCCAATTGGGGCAACCCTCGGTACTGGGTATCCCTTGTATATAAAATTAATGTCACCAAATATCACGATAAGCTAGAAACTAACCAGACAGATTGTCTATCCAATAAATGTATGCACCGCAAGTTTTGTTTTAATTGGGTGCATGAACCCCTTTTCGCTCTCGTAACAAATAGCTAGCCCAGAATACATAAGTATAGAATACAAACTTGTAATATACAAAGGGCTGTAACAGCGCATATCACAATTATCCAAGCAAGGGGCGAATACTACGTCACAGTGGTTAAAATGAGATAAAATTAGGATTTCACACAAGGTTTTTTTAGTATCAGCATTTAGGTAGCTTCTTTGATTACAAATACGTTTTAGAGACCCCATATCCATCAGCTATAATAAAATCTTTAAAAATCTATATTCTTTATTGATTCTTCACTACACCACGTTTCTGATACACAAAGTATTTCTGGACTTTCAAATTCTAAAATTAATTTCTAAATGATTTGTTTTGTTATTCATAGATTGAGCATTAACATAAATAATTTTAAATGTATTTGTTTTAGAGACATTAATTATGTTATTTGTTCGGGGTTCAGGGCTTGCCGAAAATTCTCATTATTTAATTACTCAATTTGAGCACTATCTTTATAATTCTATAACACGGTATCCGATTTCAATGATTTATTTTTTGTTGGAAAGGGTGTACTTCAGGGATGGTCCCATATAAATTTGGTCAAAATCTAATAATTGGTTCCATAAGAAAATCCTCAAACTTCATTTTTTATGTATATTCAGCGATAATTCTTTAACACGGTGTCCGATTTCAATGAATCTTTTTTGTTAGAAAGATGGTACTTCAGGGGTGGTCCTATATAAATTTGGTTAAAATCTAATAATTGGGTCCACGAGAAAATCTTCAAACTCTTCATTTTTTATGTATGTTCAGCGATAATTCTTTAACATGGTGTATGATTTCAATGTTTCTTTTTTTGTTTGAAAGGGGGTACTTCAAGGATGGTCCCATATAAATTTGGTTAAAATCTAATAATTGGGTCCACGAGAAAATCCTCAAACTCTTCATTTTTTATGTATGTTAAACGATAATTCTTTAACATGGTATCCGATTTCAATGATTCTTTTTTGTTAGAAAGGGGGGTATTGCAGGGATGGTCCCATACAAATTTGGTTAAAATCTAATAATTGGATCTATGAGAAAATCCTCAAACTCTTCAGTTTTTATGTATATTCAGCAATAATTCTTTAACACGGTATCTAATTTCAATGATTCTTTTTTTGTTAGAAAGGGGGTACTTCAGGGGTGGTCCCATATAAATTTGGTCAAATGATTGGGTACATGAGAAAATCCTCAAATTCTTAATTTTTTATGTATGTTTATCGATAATTCTTTATTATCTTGTTCGATTTGTATGATATATTTTTTTTTTGTTAGTAAAGGGTTACCCCAAGCGTTGGTCAAGATGTGGTGAGGGAATCTGCACAATTTTGAAGTCGGTTTTTTAAAATTACTTTTAATACTTGTTTGACCTTAATTTTTTTTTTTTTTTTTTTTAGATTTTAGAACTGGAAAAGCACCTATTTTGGTAGCAACTGATGTAGCTGCAAGAGGTTTAGGTAAGTTTTTTGGAATTTTCTAGTGAACAATAAATTGATAGTAAATTCCATTCATTCTTAGTTAGCAGGCTAATACCTAGCGTTCTTTAGTTTTTATTTTTGTTTTCTATTAATTGTTATTTTAAATTGGTGCTGAATCAGTATTAGCCTGCTGATCTGAAGTTATTACTTATTTTTTTTTATAAAAACTTGCTTACAAGTCCGAAAATTTTCGTATCTATGTAATTTTTGAAAGAGAAAACATATAAATATTATTTTTAGTAGGTATTAATTTTGTTGAATAATTAACCATTTGTTTTTCATATTTAAACATCATAAATGTAAGGAAAATAAATTTTGCCGTCCAATATGGAACGTGATAAAATGTTATCAAAAAGCAAATGTTACTTATATACCAAGTTTATAAAATATATGTTAAAATTTAAAATTGACACAAATCGATGATTCGTGTGCTCTTAAATTAGTTTGGTATTCTTTATTTGAAGGTCATATTTTCATTGGTTCCCATTGTTTCTCCAAATCTATTAGGTTTTCAATAACTTTTTTTAAGTATTCTACCCTTTTAAGCATAATTATCGTATCTGTATTTTTGGCTACATTGGAGATATCTTTTTTGTAAATGTTTGACTCTAGTATGTCATCTTTTTAAAATGTAGCAGAAATACATGTTTAACATTGTCATCTCTTCAGAAATATTTAGCATTATTTATCCTATTGTCAGATACGACTTTTATGGGGGACAACAAAATCATATAAATGTAGGTTTTATTTTTCTTTAATTACATCTAAATAGTTTTCACTTCGCACGCTACTGGTAAATCCAGAAAAATCTTTCTTGTTTAAGGTAGTTCTCTTTATTCAATAAAAATGTCGACCAAGTTTCAACTTGTTGCTAATTTCCGACCTCCAGTTTTTCAACGCCCTCTATTCTCTATAGGAACTTTTTTGTTTGCCAAATGAGTAAGGAATGGCATTGTACTGAATGATTACACCATGATATAAAGGGGCAAATTATATTCTTTGATGAAATTCAATACAGAATATCAAATTTAAAAAAAAAATGTGACAGAACACATGATTTGTTGTTTTGAAATGCCAATTTTGTATTATTTTTAAATTAACTACATTTTAATTTTAGTAGGGAACAGTTGTAGATAAAGTATAGTATTCAACTTGCATCATTATTGCTGTTTAGATTGGATTTTATACATTGAGATGATGCTAGTGTGTTGTAAAACTACATTTTTAAAATGTATATAATTATTTATTACCACAAATTCTCATACATATGAAAGTTTTCAGAAGAAAGCAGTACATTAGTTTTTTTTTTATTTGATTTGTAACACATTAAGAAAATAATAAATATAACAAAACCGAAATGGTTTTCCGAAAAAACAAATAGTAAAATAGTCACTACTCTCTTTTCCAGAGGCACTAGCGAGTTAATGACAGACCGAAAAAGAAAGTTTTGTCATTGTGGCTGTGCCTCTCTCTTCTAAATGGACGTCGTCTGCCGGTGGCTGGCGCTCTCAGTAAAAGTGGCCTTAATGAAATGTGCCAAAGAGCTGCCCGCCGCGCTGGCAACTCTCCCGATATTGTGCTGGTTGGGCTGTGGCTCAGCGCCTGCGCGTAGCCCCGCCTTGCCACGTCCGCTTGTGTACCGTGATGGTCTCAAAAATTTCTGGACCAACTCAAAGACGGCTGGCCCAGTGCCCGCTCATTACTGAACTCTGTGGGCCTCGCCCCGGCCCCTTTTTTTGGTATGAATTTATTTTAACACCAGCTCAGGCGTCACTTATCGAAAGGTATGAGAGTTTACAGATGCAAATTGTCAATAATTTTAAAACTTTCTCAATATTACATTATGATGTGATTGATCGATTACGATCTCAAATTTATTTTATTTATAAATATTAAGCAATCGCAAAATATAATTTTATTTATTTATTTAATTAACTGACATTTCTTCTCATTACTAGGGCTAACCTGCAAATACATTTTGTTATAGTACCTGGTAAATGACATTTTACAGGTGTTTCCACTCTTTTTAAAATATGGCAACAAAAACTGCATAGTATGTAAAAAAAACCACCAGATATCGGTAGAAGGTGAAGTACCTCAAATGAAAACAAATAATGACTGTGAACTGTCAGAAAAATTGAGTTAATTTTATCTTTATTGAGTAAAAATGCGTCTGTATCCATTTTTTTTTTTTTTTTTAATAATGATAATTTATTATTATGTACTCTATGTAATAAACGAAATGAAAAGTGAAAACGAGAAGAAAAATACTATACCACATACTTATAATAATAACCAACCATATATTTCATGAAAACAAAGTGAGAACATTACTATTTTTCATCATTTTTAGTGTACAAGACAACAATAATTAAATAAGGAAAATAGTGTGTATTCTTTCTTACAAAATTGTAAATATTGTTGAAACAGATTTTGAAAAAATAGTGTTAAGTGCCATTTTGATGTTGTTTACAGAAGAGTAGGTATTAAATTATAACTGCCACATTTTAGAAGTTTAGATAATAATTAATAAACACATTTCAAAGATACATGCTTATTTTGTTACCAGTCCTAAACAATTTTACATAGGTACCTACAATTCCATTTTTCAAGTTCCTACCATATAAATGTTCACTCCACACACATTTCCCCAATTTGTCCCATTTTCCTTTTTTCCATCATTTCCCCCCTTGCCCCCATTTTCTCTCTTTCCCCTCTTAAAATATGAAAATCTAAAAACCTGAAACACTCCATTATTTATTTGTGATGAGTACCTATAATTCCAATTTTCAAGTTCCTTCCGATAAAAAAGTTGAAGTTTCCATGCAAATCCCCGTTTCCCCCCCTTAAAATGTGAAAAACCAAAAACCCTGAAACACGTGATCATTTATTTATGCACAGTAGCAGTATTTCAAATTTTAATGTTTCACTACCACTATGAAAAAAATTATGTCCGATCACTTGCTCTGTGAAAAACAAAAACAAATCGATCCCACAGTCACCGTACAGTTTTTCGGGATAAAAAGTAGCTTATGTGCTATTCCAGGCTATAATCTATATTTGTGCCAAATTTCATCCAGATCCGTTCGGCCGTTCTTACGTGATTGAGCAACAAACATCCATACATCCATCCAAACTTTCGCATTTATATATTTACTAGCTTTTGCACGCGTGGTGTCATGTTTATAGTTTAAAAAATGAATAATTTTTATTATATTTAGTAATTTTCATTAATTTTTATTAATTTTCATTAATTTTTACTCCCGTTTTCCCCCCTTAAAATGTGAAAATTCAAAAACTATGAAACACTTCATTATTTATTTATGATGAGAACCTACAATTCCAATTTTCAAGTTCCTACCTTTAAAAAAATCGATATTTCCAAATAAACTTTCATCCCCCGTTTCCCCCCCTTAAAATGTGAAAATCCAAAAACCCTAAAACACGTCATTATTAATTTGTACTCATTAGCTGCAATTCAAATTTTCATGTTTCTAACTTCAAAGAGAACAAAAAAAAAGTTATACTCCCATACAAACTTTTACCCCCGTTTGCCCCCCTCAAGATATAAAAACCCTAAAACACATTATTATTAATTTGTACTCAGTAGCTGCAATTCCAATTTTCATGTTTTTAACTTTAAAGAGAACCAAAAACATGGATACTCCCAAATAAATTTTCACCCCCCATTTCCCCCCTCAAAACGTGAATATCCAAAAACCCTCAAACACGTCATTAATAATTTGCAGTCAGTAGCTGCAATTCCAATTTTTATGTTTCTAACTTCATAGAGAACAAAAAAAATCGAGAGTCCCTTACAAACTTTTACCCCCCCGTTTTCCCCCCTTAAAATGTAAAAAATCCAAAAACCCTGAAACACGTCATTATTTATTTATGCTCAGTAGCTGTAATTTAAATTTTTATGTTTCTAACTTTAAAGAACAAAGAGTTTCATTAAAAGCTCCCTCCCCCCATTTCCCCCCTTTAAAGTTAAAATTTCCAAAAATCCTTTCTTAGAGAATGCTTACGTTATAAAATAAACCTATGTTCCAAATTTCAGCTTTCTAGGCTCAGTCAGGACAAACAATTTTATACATCTAAATAACACCGAAAAAATTAAAGGGGTGATTCTGTGATGAAAATTAATGTGAGTGTTTGGTATAAAATTTTTTGAAAAAACCCTTCCCGGAAAAGTTACACCCCTTCGAAAATTAAAAAAAAAAATGGTTTTTCTTTTTTATTTTCCCTGTATATCAAGCTAAAGACACGAAATTTGGTAAACATCATCTGTCAATAAAAGTACACTTTTTGAAATTTTTTCAACCCTGAAGTATGCTTAGAAGGGGTTGAAATAATCAACCCCTAAGATATTTTTTCTTACAACTTTTTTTTAGATGAAAATTTTTTCTTTAAAAAAGTATGACTGAAAAGCCCAATTCATTGACTAACTTTTTTATCTCTACAAGTTTTTTTCGAAAACTTAAGCATTTATGAGAAAAAAATAAATAAGCTCATGTAAAATAGCATTTTATTAAACAACAGCCAACCAAATTATGATTCTTAAGACTTCTACAACTAAAAACAAAAGTGAACAAACAATGAACAAAAACCTGTCGAATATCGACAATACAATTATAATAAATGTTGAAAATGATCGCCTTCAGCTTCAATACAAGCATCTACCCTTTTCCTCATAGAATTGCGTATACGATGAAATATTCCTGGAGAATTTCTTATAGTTTCACACCCTGCTACAATGCGGTTTCGCATATCATCGATATTTTCAACTGGGTTTGTGTATATCAAAGATTTCAGATATCCCCATATGCAAAAATCCAAAGGATTAAGGTCAGGGGAGCGGGCTGGCCAGTTTACAGGTCCTCCTCGACCTATCCATTGACTGGCATACATCTCATCCAGGTGAGTTCTTGCACGTATACTAAAATGAGCTGGTGCATAAACCATAAATGTTGCCTAAT